TCAATAGCAGGAGTCTGTCTCCCTACACCAAGTCTGTTTCGATAATTATGACCGATCAAAGCCATATCCTAAAATATAGAGGTGACAGGGCAATGTTATTCAAACTCTTTGCTATTTTTCTGCTCCAGTTCAAAGAATGACTTGGAAGGGACCTTAAAGTTCATTTAGTTCCAAGCCTCCTCCATGAACATCTTCCACTAGACCAGGTTCCTCAGTTATAACATCATTTACTGTTTTGTAGGCCAGTCATAAGTTTCCAAAAGAAAACTACTTATTCTGTAAAACAACTTACGATAAGCACTGGAACTCCCATGACAAACTGGCCTGAAAGCGAGTTAGTCCCAGACCAACCAGCGTGTTTAGCAGTCAACTGTCAATATTACCACAGAGAAAGTCCTGCATTCTAAGCCTAGTTTTCCATCTTAAATTCAGCTTGTCTCACTTGCATCATGCTCTAGCAACAACTGATTTCTTTGAGTAGCCCATGAAACTCCTAAACATAGGAAGCTGTTTTACAGTAGGTGCAAGAACTGTGACAACCTTGCTAGCTGTGCCATGAAGTTTTTGTTCATTGTTTTCCAAAACTGAAACCACATATTCTTCTTCAGCCAGATGAACCTTGGTTTCTTGCAGATCTTTTTGTGTTTCTTCTAGCTCTTTCTCCTTGATTTGCAGATGTGCTTTACACTGTTGAAGTTCATTTTTACTAACTGTGAATAGTTCAGTGATCTAAAGAGGAAGACAAACATCAGTAGGTCAACATCACTTTTTAGGAATTCAAGTCTCACTTCCCATCTCCCACATTATGCAACAATATCAAGAAGTAAAATGTAATTTCTGCTGTAAGAGTTAGAGGTCTTAAACCTAAACAGGAGGTTTGTATGGCCTTTGTATTCACTGAAAATATCAACCCATCACCATTCTCATTGAAATAATCCCATGCTTCCTCACTCCAAACACAAAAGTAAACCACTTCTATAGGACAAGGAAAAAATCCCACTGAACAAACATAAGCAGATAGACTGGAGAGAGTCAGTAAAGCTGACTACATATTCCAGCAAATTAATACCTACACTTCTCTTTTACTAGGAGCTCCAATTCTCTGCTCCTAAACAGGTATCTGTCAACTGAGACGATATCATTTTACAAGCAGATTTTTTGCTGAAGATCCAGCAATGCAAAGTAACAGACATGAAAACAGCTTTAAAAAACTAAATACTGCACCCTGAAACTTATATATGTTGTTATTTCAACTTCCTGACTCAAGGATTAGGATGCTTCCGCTCTTGACTAACTGGAGAACTTTAGGAACAAAGAACTATAAAAAAAAAAAAGTTTAAAAAATAATAATAAAAAAAAAATTAAAATAATTTGACTGTTCTTTGCTCAGACTTATTTCCTCCTTTTGAAAGGAGGAATTAATTTCTTCCATTTTTGGGCAGATTTAAGCAAGAGTTCAAGAAGATTACCTACCTTTTTCACTTCTTCCTCCATAAC